AATATTTGACAAAGATAAACAAAATGAATAAATTTCACAATATACAAAGAAGTTTAATGTTTGTTTGTGGTTTTGTGATACTTGTCCTTGACCCAACGAAAACCCAAAGCAGAGCCATTCTTGAGCTTCTTAAAACCAGAAGATGCTACAGTTTTGGTCTTGTCTAACCCTTGTCCCAATTTCTCCTTGTATTTAGCCGTGTTCGTGTTTGACGCAGCTCCACCTCCGTCGCTTCTGACGATGGCACCACCGCCGTTTCGGCCTCCTTTGGCAGAGTCGCCGCTATTGTCCCACTGGTCAGCCCACGATGCTCCGTTCATTATATCCTCTTAAACAGCTTTATAACCAAAAAACTAATGAAAATTGAAATTTAAAAGATTGTTGTGATTCTCAACTTGTGTTTTCTCTGTTGTGTTTATATATACACATTTCTGAAAGACGTGTTTGTATGTATGGTCAAACATTGTGTTCGTGAACAAATATGATATTCTTTTGATTTGCTTCTTCGTAAAATTCTTTTCTTCCAAGGGTCAACAATCTTGTGGAACATTCGCTGGAAAAATACACGGTTAAACCATTATTCTAAGTAAAGAATCTCCCGTTGAATAAATGATACTAGTAATAATTTCGTTTATTTTATAGAATCTGGAAGAAGCCCATTGTGGAAACTTCTTCGTAATTTGCCGAGCAAGACACAAGACCTTTAATGTTTTGACTTGTAGACCCTGACATTAAGAAAAATATAAGGGAAAAAGTCTTTTACAATAGAATCCGATTTTGTCAATATAGAAAGAGAATGAAAAGATGGATAATCGGAAACTGTTCTGTTTTCCAGCCTCGGGAAATCGAAGCCGGGCTTGGGCCCTTGGTCATACCCCCTTGGTGTTTTTTGTTGACTCAAGGTATACAAAAAAACTGTGGTAGAAACTCTCTAAACATAAATTGCAATGGCTTCAGTTATACTCCATCATTTTCCTAATATAAGATGGTTTAGAGAAACTTTTTTATTTATAATATAAGATGTTTTCGTATTTTTATATCGTTTTTATCTTTATTGAATACTATGTAGCCAATAATATTATGCACTCTTTTTTTTTAATTGGTTGAATTATTTGTATTTTATTTATTAAAGAAA